TAAACAAATTAAAAAATTAGAATTCGAAAACAATAATATTTAAACACCAAATTTTTTTAAATTAAATTTTTATTATAGTATTTTTATAGTATTTAAATTAAATTTTTATGTAATTTGTAGATATTGAAATATTTCTAGGGTCATACATTGGTATGAATACTTTATTTTTTTTTATACAATTTAATCCTAATCAAATATTTGCTCAAGTATGCGCATTCATATACAATTTTTTCCTAGTTCTATACACGCATTTCCATTTAATTTTTGATCCTTGATAACAGATTTTTAAACTGCTTACACTTAAAAAAAAAAATTAAAATATTTTTAATGGAAATATCAAAATTTCATTTTTAAGTTTACATTAGTCCTTTTTAAATAACACTTATATTTTTATCTACATATGTACATATACACGGATATACAGTCGAATACGAATATATTTTAACGTTTGTATTTGGAAAATATTTTTTTTAGTTGGCTCTTATTTATTCTACATTAATTAATTAAAAGCATGGCATAAAATAAGTTCAATTTATAATTCAAATAATATTTGATATATAATGTAGTTTTTATATTTGTAGAAATATTAACCCATTAATTCTATTGGTTCACGAATGAGCGCCAAAATTTATTTTTGAATTCGTTCGAAAAAATGAAGAATTACTAAATAAGTAAGTTAGTAGTTATAATGTAATTAAGCTGAGGCTTTTCGTTTGTAATAATAATAATTTTCAATTTCGGAAGTCTCAAAGAAAAAGTAATTGAACATATATAAGTAATTAAAAACAGGTTTTCGAGAAAACAACCATATTCTCATCGAAATTTTTGGAAAGGAATAAAATTATTTAACCCAACCGTCAGCAAACTTTTGTGGGTTATGAGCTTATATATACTATTTGAGTATGATTATTGGCCACTGGAGTTTCTTAAATTACCTATACTTACAAGAAGAAGAAATGACATTTTCAACTGGCTTTATTGAATGTTTTGTATACTTATGCCTATCTATATTATCTATGATTGAGTACTAAAGCAGAATGATGGGTCGCATTTTGAAATTAAATTTTCTGCATGATGCCTAGGGGCCGCATTTTGGAGACGGATGTTAACCGATCTAAAACTTTAACTTAGTAAAATAATTTCCCAATTACCTGGATTTTGCTGTATTGCATATAATATAAAAAAAGAGAAATTCATAATTGTAACACAAATTAATATACCTAGTATGTATAGGGCCTAACACCAAAATCTAAGGTATTTGATTATTAATTTGGTCCATTAGAAAAACAGAAAACCAAAAAAAAAAAGTTATAACGGGAAATAAGAGTAATGCATCATTTTTTTTTTTCCTGGTTACATTAATGGTAACAAGGGTGTCAAAATATCAATTTTTCATATTGTTAATTCGCGGCTTATAAATACATAAGACATAATATATGAATATGAACGTACATATACGAACCTTCATAGATAATTATGAATAATATGAATGTAGGTATGTATGTAAAAATATCATTTCCTAAAATATTCTCGCAATACGGTTACCAGAAGAAAAAATTCTGTATTTTAAAATTTTTATTTAATAGACAGACAGCTGGATAAACAAGTTTCTATAAAAGTTAAATTGATCTGAAGTACTTAAATTAAGGTATGTTTGTGTCAAAATGATCAAAATGAGAATTTGAAAAATTTATATATGTGCATATGCATGTACACTATATACGGGTGATGTACGGTGTGGTAATTTTCTTGTTTTTTTTTTTTTTTTAATTTTAATTTTTATTTATAAAATGAAAAGGGAAAGGGTTTTTGTTTTCTTTAATTCTTAAAATTCTTCTTTTCTAACTAAATGCATAATACAATGAAATTTTTTTGCAACAATGTGCAGTTCTACAAGAGACACACACAGACACACAATAAAGAAAAACTATTAAAATTTCAAATTTTAATCCTTGTTTTTTTTTTTGAAATCATTTTCGTAAAAGGAGTAGTAAAAAATTCGTTCTTATATGCGTTGAACAAAAGTCAAGATTAAAATATTTTTTTGAAAAGGATTTAAAATGAAGTTTTTTTTTTAAAAAAAAAAATTTTTTTCACTATTATTATATTTAAAAATTAATTGTTAAAAGGATTATAATAACGGTGTAATGTGATTGACAATTTATACGCAATATGTGTGCACAATAGTGCTTTCTATTTTATATTAGTACAAGCATGGTACTAATAGCTTTTGCTCATATACTCTGTATACCATGCATGTACGTATTATACAAGGGTACTTAAAGTTATGTAACTACTTGCAATTACTACTCTTATTTTTGTAGCTCTTATATACCGACAATTTGTTCTGGCTTTAATTGAATGTATATAAAAGTATTTCGCAGTTTTTTCGTTTGTAACTAAAGGATATGTTTAATCACAACTAAATTGTTAGACAAAGAGAAAGAATACTAATCATTTAATGCACTATAGTTCAATACAAAAGCTATTAAGTTGTACAAAAAGAGAACATTCATATATAGTAAAGATAAAGTAAACAGAGGTGTCTTTTTTCCCCAATAAATTTACATCTTTTCTAAATAGTAAAAATTTTTCAGAAGTTATTTTGTCCAAATCTAAAAAAATTCGTTAATTATGGGAAGAATCATTTATCTAACATAAAAAGCTTCTCCGAATTGAAACGAATCTAAATTGTTATAAAACGCCTGCTTATAAATTTTTAAAGTAATTTCTTTCTTACACGACAAGTCGTAAAAGTCTCAAACAGTTTATTATTATTGACAAATGTTTTATTTTTTTAAAATAAAATTTAAATTAAACCCTTTTCCTACTCTTGAGCTATTAACTCTTAAAATCGACAAAATGTAAATTTTCGGTTCCATATTTTTTAGGTACTTATTTGAATTTTGACTGTAGCCATGTTTGAACCATGGATTTGATCGACTAAGTTTTAATATTAAATTTAATAGAAATTAATCAGAATAATCCGAGGTGACTTATAGTATAATGATACATTTTTATTTTTAATATATCCTTTAATACGCAAGCACAACTGCGTTGCTAAATTTCACAATATTCTAAATTTTTTAAACTTCCAATGTATTTTATGTAACACCATTACTTGGCCTTCAAATAATTTCTTTACGAAAACAAAAATTAAAAAAAAAAAATAATAACAAATATTTAAAAAAAGCTTCTTCCGCAAATTTTCTTTCTTCCTCTGTTCAAAATATTTAATTCTTATGAAATTTAAAAGAACTTAAAGAAACACGCGTTGTTATTCACACGTTCCAAATTAATTTGTTTTTCCTTATTATCATTTTTTTTGTTCTTGTTTTTCTATATAATTTTTCAGTTTCATATTACGAACAAGGATGGCACATGTTATTATTATTAAAAATTTTCATTATGTAGTACTTTTTATGTAGAAAGTTTTTAATTACATCTAGACTGTGCAGCATCCTAGCGAATCGGATGTCATTTGGTTGGGATCCTGCGATGTCTTAGAGCAGCTGCCGATTTGACTGCAGTCTACATGTAACAATGACTGTTAGGAGAGCATGCATTCAGGGTGATCGTTTTTGCTTTCTTTGCGAGTGTCCTGCTCTGGGTGGAGCGAGACTGGTCATTGGGGGCACAGTAAGCGTTAGGCTGGTAATCAAGCGATATTTAGACAAATTCGTCGCAAAAGGGAAAGCGGTGATGACAGGATGGTTGTAGTCAACCGGCACATACATACTAATTGGGGTGCGGCAGGCTTGTTATGATATAAAATGAACTAATCTGAATTCCCTAAAAAGCACGTCAGTTAGTGGGCAAGCACAACCCAATAAACAAGAAATTTCGACAATTAATCCCTATTAAATTGAAATATTATTAAATTTCAATCAAAGTTTTTGATTATTTCTCTGCATAAAATATATATAGGTGATTTATAAATACACGGTTCATTCTAAATGAGAACTATTTCCACCAGTTCAATACATTCCCTTTAATAAAAAATTAAATAGCATTAGATTGCTGATATGTGCGAGTCTCTTAACTATATAATTGCAAAGCTTTCAAGCAATTTTACATTTAAGATTTAAATAGTTATACATTTCCAAATCAAAAATATATACAAGTGTAATGGAGCACAAATATTTGTATTTATGTGCAAACTATTTTACATTAAATTTAACTTAATTTAGTCCACAAATCATCTTCAATTTAAATTTGACAGCACATAGTTAATTTAGTGTTTGTGCCATAACAATGTTTTGTTATATAATATATTAATCGTAAATTTGTGTACAATTATAAAATATACGTAGTTATATTAGGGTGGGTTAAATAATTTTTTTTTCTGTCAAATTAATTTGCTATAATTTGAAATGTCTTTTAAAATCAATTTCAAATTTGTAAAGCATGCACGGATTTTCATTATAAGAACTTTTTATGTGATGAGAAGAAAAAAGTGTCTTTTGTTTGCATCTGGTTGTGTTTGATAATTTTGGAAGTTCTGACTCTCACGCCTTGATTAATTATATGAATTACCTTATTTAATTTTCGTTTTACTAATTAAAGTTTAATTAGAATCAAAGCAACATAATATATAACTATTGCAATATAAATAAACACCTGTTAATTTCCCTACAGCAGTTCCTTACCCATCCACCCTAATGTGTATGTATACATCATGTATTTTATTACAGTATTTGAATTTTTGCATAATATACAAATTTACTTAATTTAGAATATTACTATTTTATGGTTTAGTAACATAAATAAAAATACTTTGTATATGCAATGTGTTTATCATACTTATACAAAATACTTGCGAAAATTAAATAAAGGAAAACGGTATTATGATATTTATACGGATATACTTTTCTATATATATGTATATATACACAATCTCTCTATGTGAAAAAATCAAATTGTATCTACTACAAATATAAATTTTAAGGGTACAATTTTTTTGTGTATAGGATGAAGAGCTTTTTAAATTTTACGACCTATATTGAAAATGTTTTAAGAGCTTCAGTTCTACAAAAATATTATAAGAATGATAACGGAATAAAGATTTTATAAAAAAAATATAAAATTTATTAAAATAAGAAATTTCGACACCAGAGCCGAAAGCCCTTTTAATAGCTATTTAGTGATTTTTTTTAAATAATTAATTTTGAACGGCATAACAATTAAATTTTAAAAATAATAATGGATAAAAGAAACCAACTCACACTTGGCACAATTTGTGATGGTTAGTGATTATTTTATTTAATTATAATTATGCATATCGGTATAAGGTCTTAAAAATTTAAGTAGTTTTTTAATTATATAACTAATTAACCGCTTAAATAATCGCTTTTATGTTTAAATTTAAAGGTGAAATTGAAATATCCTTGCTAAGAGAAGATGATGTTGAAGAAGCACTTGAGGTAAGTTCGTCAACAATATGTGTAAAATATTAATAAAGTTAAAAGAGTATATAAAATTAATTCCTTAATTTTATACTCTCTTATCTTAATATTCCAAATTAAATTAATTAAGTTTGAAAAGTTTGTTCAATGTTGAAAAATTTAATATAAAAAAAACATTGTAGATAGTTGATTCTGTATGAACAACCGATGCATATACATAGTGTAATGTAAAAGTACGCCACCTATACTCTTTATTATTAATACTCGTAGAAACAAAGTAATTTAAATTTTATTATCGAAGGATTTAAATAATTCTATTAACAATATTAAAGATGCTTACAATTAAATCTCAGTTCATTTAAATGTACAATCAAACTTAATCAAACATAATTTGAACTGATCTAACAGAACTACAATCAATTTTAAATAATTTTGTTTCAACTTTATTTGATTTAATTGAATTAAATTGAATTCAATTGAACAATGATTGAACAAAAATTTGTTTGATTAAAACTTGATTCATTATTATGTATGAAATGTATGCTATCAATCATGTGTGTTAAGTACAAATAAATGTTTTTTAATGAGAAAATTCTTTAGAACTTTTATTGAAATTATGATTTTAATGTAAAATATGTAAAATTGCCGTTAATAATAAAATTATTAATACTATGTTTTAATATTTAAAAATAGGTTCTTAAGAAATCATTTTTCATTAATGAAAATCTTTGTATTGCAACTGATGTTAATAAACCAGAAAATGAAAATGCAATTGATGAATTAACAGAATTGGCAAAGCAAATAACAAAAGATGGTATATCTGTTATAGCAAGACACATTCCTTCAAATAAAATTGCTGGTGTTGCTTTAAATAAAATTCATAAAGTATAAATTTTTCATAAAATTTTATATTTTAAATAAAAATAGTTAATTTCTTTTCTATTTTTTCAGTTTTGTCCTGACAAGAAATCTACACAAGGTGAATTTTTAGAAAATTTCTTAGATTCAACATGTAAAACAGAAAATGTTAAATGTATAACAAAATCTTTAGAAACTATGGAAGAAAAATTTAATATATTCATTGAATGGGATATTGATTGTATTGTAGAACATTTTATGTTATCAGTTTTAACAGAATTTGGAAAACGTAATATTGGTTATAATCTTTCATTATACAGTATACAATTAGCTATGGAATTAAATCAAAATACTGAAAGTATAATACGTGAATTTTTACCAATACATTTACAAAATTGTCATCCTAAAGCAATTTATGCAATTTTTACATCAAAATATTCACATAAAATTGGACAACGTCTTGGATTTGAAGATTTAGCAATTGTACCATATACAGAATTTTTTTATAAAGGACAAAAATTTTCTGATAAATTAGATCCAATTCATGAAAATTGTATACTAGGTGCAAAAAAATTTTAATTTCTTATATTAGTTGTACAATTATTATAATATTTATAAGAGTATTAAAAAATATATTCAAAGTTATATTGTTATATAAACTATATTGTATAATTTTTAGAAAGTCTTTAACTATAAATCCATGCATCAATGGTTTTTTGAACCAAAGAAATATTAGGATAATCATTAAAAATATTTATTATAGATTTTCACATAAATTCTTCTAAGTAAGCTTCGGGCTCAGCGAAAATGTCAAAATTCTTTGATTTGATCTACATTTTATAATGCGGAAAACTGAAAATTGAATAGCTCGGAATTATATTACTAGTATCATTACATTTTCTGTAATATTTCACATTCAGTATTTTAAAATTTTTTTTAATAGAAAATATTCAGGACTCTCTGTATATGACTCTGAATCTTATAACATCGTCATACATATTATCACATAAAATCACAGGAAACACCTTGTATAATTGTTTATCTTAATTTTAATGTTTATTGTATACCACATACAAAAATTATAAAAACTATTTCAATTTTTCTACATACATGTAAAAATATTAATTTCTTTTCACTTCAACACTCTATTTTAACATTCTTTATTTTGCTTTTATACAAAAATTTTAAAATTCTCTAATTAAAACTTATTTCTGTATTCAAAATTTAGTTCATTTACAATAATAACAAATTTTATATATAAATTTTAACAATCATTAATATGTAAAAAAGATTGTGTACTATCCGGATGTTGTGGACCAATACGATCTGCAAAACTTTTTCCATTAAATTTATATTCCGAAAATGGTACACGATTTAATGTTTTAAAACCAAGTTTATCACCAATTTTTTGTGAAAATTTCGAAGTAAGTAATGAACATAATCCTTTTGGTATTTTATCTTTTAAATTTGGATGAAGTTTATCAATACCAATACCTTTATTTATATTTTTAACTAATTCAATTGAATATTCACATAAAATTTTACCAAGACCACGTTTTTCAAATTCTGGTAACGTTGCTAAAAACATTATTTCAAGTACACAATCAATATTATAAATATCAAAAACATTAATTTTTTCATCCATTGAAATCATATAATTAAGTAAAGATATTGAATTTGGTGATGAACAATATTTATTTTTGAATACTTCAAAGAAAACTTCTTGTACTGTATCATCAACATACTAAAATTAAAAAAAATATATAATTTTAATATAAAATATTATACATATATGTATGTTTGTATGTAGCTCTTACTTGAATTTTATTAAAAGCAACTGAAACAATTTTCTTTGTCGGTCTATGACGTGCCATTAATGAAACACCATCTTGTCCTACAATTTTTGAAAGTAAACGTAATTCTTGACGTGCTTGTTCATTTTCTGGTAAATTTATTTCGGATCCTATAACAACGCTTTCTTTTACAAAAAATGATCGATGTAAAACCTACAAAAATATAAAACAGATATTTAAATTTTTTTTAGTTATTATTATTGGTATTATAATATTAATTATTTATTAATTAATTTTAATATTTATTTGTATAACAGAAACTGCATCCAGGGCTCTATTACACATATTAATATTAATTGATTACAAAAAATGTAAGAAGTAGTAGGTGCAATAGAGGCCCGGTTGCATAAAATTATATTATAATTTTTTATATAATTAAGTATGCATGTATACTTACATCTAAAGCTTCTTCTATATTTTCGGTTGTTATTGTACAAATTTCGAATTCTCCTGAAAATAGATAAATATATGTATATAAACTATCATTATTAACATGTATGTAATGTTTTTACAGAATTCATTTTGGTATTTAAGAAAAAAAAATAAGAACGGCGGAGACGTTATCATGAAGACGAATTTGCTCGAATTGCAAATACATAAATACTAAAATAAATGAACTCAAATTTAAGAAATTCAGCTGTTACTCTTCACTTCAGCGTATCTTAAACCCAATATACCTACGTTCTCTCTTATGAAAAATTCATATACATAATAATTACAATTAGTAAATTTATAATGTGAGTGTAAATTTTAAAGTTGATTTTCTTTTAATTAGCAAGCTAACATACCTTAAGTTTATGAACTTTCTTTATAAAAATATGCAATTACACATATAGTATGTACATATAATTATAAAAAATAATATTACAGGTATATACCTTATATATTTTCAGTAATTGTAATTTACGGGAGTAGTAATTTGCAGTAATAGAAATTTCCCATAAAATTTCCCATATTTTCTTACCATCCAATTTATATTTATATTTTAATAAAACATTTAGCAAAAAGGTTCCTATTTAAAATTATATGAATTTCTTTTATTTTAACCTTTAATCACAGCTGTGACGTCAAATTTTAGAGGAGTTAAAAATTTATACAGTGGGTAAAAAGTGGGTAAAATTTACGTCATGTCTGTAATAATACAAATATAATTTTTTTCTGTGATTAAAAGTTAATTATACACAAAAATACAACATAATCATTTTTATTTTTTCTCTTCTAAAACGAATCATTTTTGCAATTATCTTACCTTAAAACTATAATAGTTGCAATGAAATTATTGTGCATTTTTATTTATTAGATTATTCACATCATTTCAGTTAATAACAATCTTTGTACTAAAATTATAAAAAAGCTTCCTAACAAAAAGTTTTCTATATAATTCGTTTAATTATTTAAATAATTACAAACAGAATTATTTTAATATAAAAACAAAATATTTATTTTTTATTAATAAATTAAGTCACATAGTAAGAGTAGAGATAAAAATAATAAATACAATGTAGTTAATTTTTGAATACAATATTAAAAAATCAAGGTTATATGATTATCAGTACAATTATATAGATACTATATACTTCTTTTAGTGGCTGATTTGTGACGTCATAATTAAAAAAATTTTCTACTATATTGATAATTTTAATCAATTCTTCAAAATTATAATTCTTGACACTGTATACAATATAATAATTTTATGTTTTAATTTGTTATACATATGTTGATATAGCAACAAAAAAAAAAGAAACGTTTCTGTTATAAAAATTTGTTGAAATTATATCCTACATGCTTATTAATGTACTATAGTAAACGACGTGTGTAAAGTATATGTTATAGTTCTATAATATACCGTTCATTTCTACAGGTTTTCTTTTAAAATAGACAAGGTGAACCAGTAACATGGTATAATCTCTCGAGAACAGAAAGGTGGAACAATTTTTTGAAAAAATCGTTCCTGGGAGGGAGGAGGGGTAGAATGAGGGCCAGAAAACGCTGGAATGTAACCATTTATAAGTCCGTACACTTTTTTCAAAACTAAAAATTTTCAACTGGGACTTTTGTTATTTCTCGAACTCAAACAAATTTTTTTTCGAAATTTAGTATACACATACCGACATACATGTCCACATAAACATACCGACATAATGTTTACCTTAACACAAACATATAAGAACTCATTTAAAATTTTACCTTATAAAGGGCTTTTGCATTATAACAAAAACTCGTTAAAAGCAAGGAAATTAATGAACCTATACAATTTTATAACTAATGCAAATAAGAGAACCGCGATTTCAATTATATCATTTAATTATTAGTTTATATAAAGTTACCATCACAGTATGTTCCAAAACATTGTTCTTCACGTACTGCCATTTCTTATTTAATTAAATTTAAAATTACGAATAAATTTTATAATAATTATTCTCCAAAATTTACAATATTATAGTAGAAGTTGAACGACGATGTTGATCGCTTGAAAACTTAATTTATACTGATTACTGATATTATAACGTGCAGCTTTTTTCTTTACTGATATACTAGTAACAATATTTACAGAAATTGATAAATAAATTCAAAAAAAAAGAAGAAGAAGAGAAGAGAAAAGCAAAAAAAAAACAGTAATTTTAAATAAAATTTAAATAATAACCACGCTAGGAAAAAAAAATATAGTAAAATTATGTTAATTATTTTGTTAACGATACTACAATACAGATAAATATAAAATAGGCATTTAAAATTAGTTTCCAATATGATCAACTAATATTATTCTTCTTTGTAATTTTAACAATAAGTCAATAATATATATATATACATATATATATATATATATATATATACATATATATATATATATATATATAAATATTTAGTGTCTTAAAATCAACTTATGCGTGTGCACATAAATTTATTATATACATAAGAAAAACAAGATTTTCTAGAAATGAAAATGGGTACAGAAGAAAACTTGTATGAAATTTTGATTGTTATAATCTAAAATGTGGCATATTTTGTACTAAGATGTTTGCTCTTTCATACTCATAACAACTACTTATAGAGGTACACATGACATAAATATTAGTACTATTTCAAATAGTAATATAGATAAAAAGATTTTGCATTTCACTTAAATTCGTTTAATTACTTTCTCATATAGCGCGTTACGGTAACGAAGGATTATCTTTACGCCTATATAATTTTACGTTTCTATATTCTATACTATATGTAAGTAAGTAATCATACATTTTGGAATGACTGAAATAACCTTTATTACAAACTAAAATTATGTTTAAGAATACATTGAACAATTGATATTATTTTTTGTCAAATATGTATCCCATATACTTGCTACTGTCTCCTTTTTAACAATTTATTTATCAAAATTCTTATTTTGAAAAAAAATATTTTGATTTGTACTCTCAAAATAACGTGATAACAATATTGAGAAGTTTCAATGACTTATTAATTAAAATTTGTTAATTTACAATATCATAATACAAAATTGTTTTCATCATTATAATATTTTCTTCATTTTATTTGATTAATTTCTTATCAGTAAAGAAATGAAGAAATTTATGCATTTAATGCCTTCTAGCATTTATACAAATTGCATTAACTCCAATATTAATTCAAAATTTTAACTTGTGTTCATATACAGATTATATGATTTTTTACGGACACTGTCCTACGATTTATTTTCAACATTATTAATTGTAAAATGTAATGGCCGACAAGTTTGAAAGCAATTTTATTTTCATTTTTATTGCATATACTTACTTACAAATTAATTATTTTTATGTTGATTGACAGTTATTGACATTTAATGAGTAAGCCATTAAATCACATTGCATAGTAGCATTAAATTACAATGTATAAACACGAATAATAAAGCTTAATAGCTTAATAAAAAATTTCCGTGCATTTCAAAGTATTTTGTCAAATTTTTTTAAAAATAAATTATAATATTATAATTACTTATCGTTTTAGTAAATTGCACTTTTGTCTATTTTAAAATGATGATTCTTTAAAATTACATAAAATTGTAACTATTGTTGTTAATAAGCTATGCAACTTTAAGATTATTAATGTTTTTTCAAATTTAAAAATAATTTCCAATACAAGAGTTTTTATATTATATAAATGAAATCTATTTTAAAAATAAAACAATAAAAAAAACTTGTTTTACACGATTCAAAATTTCTTAACACGGTCGTATAAATTTAATTTACTTTTACCGTTAAATATCAAGATTCTACAACAATATTAATGTGTTACCTTCCAATAAAATTTTATATTAGTTTATATATGAAATTAAAGATGGCAGTGATGTTTGATTGCTGAATTATTACAGACATTGCCATATTCCCTTATATTCCCTAAATGCATGTTGTTAACCCCAACATATGAAACACATAAACTTTATTACGGAGTAAAATTTCTGTTAAACAACACAGGATTTCCAGACAAAATAATTCGTTATTTGTATCAATAAAACTAAAAAGTATATTTTTATTATTAACGAAAAATAATATTAACGCTACAAAACGTACTGTACAGTACTAACGTAAATATCACCGTACAGCTTGTAACACCGTAACCTAAATGTCATATATTATTGTCAAACTGTCAAAAATAGAAGATAAGTATATTATTGACTGACGTGTTCTAAACAAATCAGCAGCTGCGAAAAATTGCTTATTGTGCAAATAAGTACTCAGAAATATTTTTTGTAATAATGAAACTTTAAACGATTATAATCGAAACAATTTAAATTACATTTTATTTAAAAATTAATGTGTTTTTATATCACTTAAAATTGTACTTATAATTTTAAGTAATAAAGTATTTGAAATTCGATTTTAGATCAATTAAAAATTCATAATGCTACCAGAAAAATCCCGGTTCATAGTGTATGCATTGGGAATATTCTTTTGTTACTTTTATTATGGTATTATACAAGAAAAAGTTACACGTGGACGATATGGAACTCAAATAAATCCTGATGGAACAATTGGAGAAAGATTTACATTGACGTTAGCACTAGTATGGGTACAATGTATTTGCAATTGGTTATTCGCAAAAGCGATGTTATTTGTTAAACCACAGAAAGAAGACACAACACATTCTGGATATTATGCAACGTGTGCTCTTACATATTTATTAGGTTTCGTTAGCTCAAATATGGCGCTAAGGTGGGTACCGTATCCTACTCAAGTTGTAGGTAAATCTGCTAAACCAATTCCTGTAATGATATTGGCAGTTCTGGTTGGTAAAAAATCATATCCTTGGCTAAAATACTTTTGTGTCTTAATTATTGTAACTGGAGTAGTAATGTTCATGTATATCGATGGAAAATCTAGTAAGCAAATAAATGAAGATAAAGTTGCTATTGGTGAACTATTATTGTTAATGAGTTTATCAATGGATGGTATGACAGGGGCTGTACAAGAAAGAATGAGAGCATCAAGTGCACCTTCTGGTCAGCAAATGATGTTAGCCATGAATTGGTGGAGTGCATTAATTTTGGGTGCAGCACTAATATTTACAGGTATTTTATAATATTAAAATTTTTTAGTAATATCTACAAAAGTATCATATGAAAATACATTTTAGGAGAAGGAAAAGATTTTGCTGCTTTTGCTGTTCGACATCCAAATATGTTAGTTCATTTAGGTACTTTGGCTCTCGCTGGAGCACTCGGACAATTGTTTATATTTTTAATGGTTTCATGTTTTGGTCCATTATCATGTTCAGTGGTTACAACAACTAGAAAATTTTTCACAGTTTTATGTTCTGTAATATTATTCGGAAATGTTTTGAGTATGAGACAATGGTTTGGTGCCGTTTTAGTTTTTGCTGGTTTATTCGCCGATATGTTTCTTGGAAAAAAATCACATTCCCATATTAAACCACTTCCAAACAATAAATCACTAAAAAATGGGGATGAAAAAAATAAACTATTATCATAGCCCGAAGAAGTTTTTGTTTAGATTAAACTTTTTTTTTTTTATTTTCAATAATTTTTTTAGTTAAAATTTTCAAAATTTTGTTGTCTAAGTATTTAAATTTTTTATATTTTTAAGTAAATCTATAATTTAACGAACAATATTTATTTAAATTAAAGTATAACTGAAAAGAATTACTTTAAAAAAAATAAATAAAATAAGTATAAATTAAAACTAAAAAAACAATGTTTTCTAAAATAATTTTTGACTAGATAGATTAAGAAAGTAATCAAAAATGTAAAGGTACCTTCATTCTTCTTTAAAAATTTGGTTTTTTTTTTCAAAATTTGAAATATTAAGTAATTGTACAAAGTACTAATTAAAATAGTAAATTATAGAATTGCATTTAAAATATCGAATATTAAAAAAATTTAAAAAAATGTTTACACACTCTACACTCTCTACATGAAATTAAATAATTTTATTTACATCCTGATAAATTAACATATGTAACCTAAGATCCTTTTGTCTTCCAAGCTAAGTCATAATTTTGATTTTTTTCTGATTTTTCAATCGTTGGTTAAAGTTGCCAAAACGATGGTAATTGTTTTTTTTTTACATGATTTGATTAAAATTTGATGAGAATTCGATTTGCCACCGTAAATAAATTTAGTTGAATGGAAAAAAATCTAATAAAATCTAATTCTCATCAAATTTAAATCGAATGACTAATGTTTATTACTCAAAAATATACTATTAAATCCATTTCGAAGAAAATTATTAATTAGATCAGCTATAATTTCAATATTATGTTTTAAATTTTCTAAATATTTTAAATTAAAATCTATAAATTTATATAAAATACGTAAAATTCCTTTAATGTACAATAAAGTTATACAAAACAAAATGTTTATATAATACTTAGCGTTTATATGTCACAGCTTTAAGTGTACTATTTATATTATGATAAAAATATGTATTTTATATTAAATTATATCATATTAGAATAGCCAAAAAGACAATATAACTTATTGAAAATAAAGCATATGAAAAAAAAATAGCAAAAAATTTATTGGTCAATCCAAATTTTAATAGTCACATAATTTACATACATACATAAATACATATTTTAAATATTTATCTTTAAATTTTTACAAATTTTTTAATATTCAACCTGCAAAGATCGACATAATTTTTTTTTTCATGTATAAAACAATTGGTTTTAAAAGATACGCTATGGTTTTAAACTCAAAATGTTACTAAAATGATTTTTATCATCTTTCAAATAAGCGCAATGTGTGAATAACAATAAAAAAAGTACAATAATTTGCGTAAGCACAATATTACACATTGTTTTTCGCAAGACCCTGTTAATTACATACTTATTAATACAATGCAGTTTCTTGCCTTTAGAAAAAATTCAAGGATTTAATGTAAAATTCTCATTCATTCATAAAAATATTTTTAAAAGCTTTACAGAATAAACGCCAATTAAATACTAAAAATTATAAATTATTAAATAACATAAAGACTTATTGTTATTTTAATATTCATTTTCAGGTAAGTTCATTTTAATAACTAAAAAACAAACGCCCTTTTTTGAAGTGATTGATAATTTTGCGGCATATTATTGAATAACATGCTATAAAAAAAAAATTCTTACTTATTCAAATATAATAATACAAAGATATAATAAATATTTTGTGATATTTTGTGTAATAAACGAATATTTATTCATTTTTTTTTATATATAAAAAAATTAGTAAGTGTTTTACACCGTATCTATACAGATACTTAAAGTAAGTAAAGTTTAAATAGTTAAGGATTTAAAAAGAGCTTTATTGTAATCTTATCTACACTTAAATAGGATAAAGAACAAATTATTCCAGGTAAACGTGATTAAATTTAAATAATTACAAAAAAAAAAAAAAACGAAAAATATAAACTTATTTTAATTAGTCTAGAGTGGATCAGAAGATATAATTAAGCATTTTGATTAATATATAGAATTGTAACTCCATGCAAGTACCTAATGGCGAATTTTAAAAAGTTTTTAGATTGTCCTGATTTATATTATTTGGCAAGACTTAATACAAACATAATTATCAGGAAATTACTTAACAACCTGTGTATACAACTTTCCAATGAACCTTTAGGAAAAAAAGTCTAATTTGGATCTGAAAATGCTCCAAAAGCTAATTTAATTAACAAATTTCATTTTAAAAATTAAGAAAGTTTTTCTTAATACTTTCACCACTTGTAAATTTTTAGTAAAATTTTGTTGAACTCAAATGCATTATGTTAAAGTATTAAACAGAAAATCTATGATCGCCATATATTATAAAAAATATTAACTGGGACTTGATGTATACCATATTTAATTTTCAAAAAAAATTTAAAATTATTTATTAATAGTAATTTAAAATCTTAGTATATTTCATACATACATAAACACTTAATTTGTATATATTTCCTATTTGTAAGGGAGCAGCAGGTAAACTACTCCTTTTAACAACGAAATTCCAGTTGTTCTCAAACTCGCTTTCGAATTTTCTTTTAGAAAGTAAATTATGTAAGTAAACACGGTTAGAACGAACGTATACATACATAATGTACCTACATACAAATCATAATAATGTTTTATTATATTGGACCGTACTAAATGGCAGCATAATATTTTATTTTATCATAATAATATTATTATTATTATTATTATTGTATAAAAAAAGAATTTAATAATGAAACAAATCTAAATAAAATAAAATTGGCAAACTAATAATAAAAAACAAAAATAATAATAATAAAATACAAAACGAAAGCATCAAAAATTTATAAAAACAAAAATCAAATAAAAAATAATATAAAATTGTATATTAAAAGTATATACAGGGTATTACATACATTCATATACGTTAAAACAAGAATAATAAAAAACAAGAAATAAAAATAAATTTTCCTTTTCGTTAAAATATTTATGTTATATATGAACGTACATACACATATATATATATATATATATATATATCATATATATCATCTCACTGTATATGCATAAATTCATGTAAGTATATACTTGTACGTACCTACATATAAGTATAACAATTTTTTATAAAAAAAAAAGCTCATTCATTTCGGCTCTTGATATTTTTTCTGCTTCTTCTTTTCTAATTCTGTGATGCGCATAACACACAAATTTTATAGCTTAAAATATTATTAAGTTTTCTTTTTGTTTATTTTACTTTTATTTTTTTGTTATTATATTGACAGCATACCATATAATATACAAGAATAACAAGAACAACACAAACAAAAAAAAAAAGGAACACAATTTTCCAATTATTCTGTCTAAAATGACAGATAATCAGTACTTCGAGAAACCTTTAATCGGTACGAAGAAGTGCATTTTTATTTCAATAAAATAATTATTATTCATAGATTTTTGAAAATCTATATATTGAAAAAATATAATATTCTTGGAAAATTTGCAAAAATTAAATATTATAAATTTTAATTTAAAATATAAAAGTTATAAAAGTATAAAATTTAGAGAAAATAAAATTGTAGGTACCTACATAAAATATATAAATAAAATTATAATATCTACTCGCCTATTATTATTATTATTGTATATGTATATATTATATTATATATATACATAATTATTTAAAATATATTAAAAGGAAAATATTAAAATTTTTTTCTCTATATTTTTAAAATTGAAATTTAATAAAATCGCGTTTGCAACAAAAAAAAATCGCAAAACACTTTTTATCTTTTATAGCAAAAAAAATAAAATCTTAATAAAAAAATAACATACAAATAATATTAAATAATAAGAAAACAGAAAAATATAAAAAATATCAAAAAAAAACAGAGAAAAAAACGTGAATTGTATAACAGAATACCGAACGGCAATATAAGTGGAAAAATTGTGAAAATTTTGAATTTTTTTTTATCTTACAAAATAATTTAATAATAAAATTAAAAATAATTATTGAATTGTAATTTAAATAAAAAAAAAATTATAAAGAAAAATTTTATGTAATATAAAAAAAATATTGTGCTACCTATATAAATAATTAAAATCAAGTGAAAATTTCGAGGAAAACAAAGTAAGGAAAGAAAAAAAAGGAAAAATAGAAAAATAAATTTAAATTATGAAATTACATACATACATACCTATTAAATTTTTTTTGTTTGTTTTTTTTTTATTTTCTTCTTTTCTGCTTTTATTTTGTATATATCATTCATAATTGAACAGTTAATGAATAACTGTAAAAGAATTTCGGTAACCGTATATATTTTAATACAGCAATATTATTATTATACATGATATATATCATATGATATATATGATATATATCATATATATATATCATATACATTATATATATACACTATGTATGTATGCATGTGTATTTAATGCATCCATATAATGTAAATGATATTGAATTAAAAAAAAAATTAAAAAAATAAAATAAAATATTTTTAATTATTCATGATATTAATATTGTATATTTTTGTTATTATTACTACTTACTTATTATTATATACGCTTTTAAATACTAATTATAATAACTATAATATACTTGAATGAATACATATACATATATATGTATGATGTTTTTATAAACAAGTATTAAAAATTTTAAAAGATAAATTAATTAATTGAATATAATATAGCTATACTTATTGATAATATGTATATGTGTAGGTATATGCATATGAAATTTGGGTTCGGAGAGGGGCTTTAGACAATACACAGAGCGTTCATGGAAGAGGTGTATGGGAGACAATAGATCGAGGGCATGATTTCCAATATTCATTTTTTAAAACCATATATTCATTTCATTATGAAAATGGAAAAATAAAACTGCAATAGAATAGAAGTTTTTGTGGTTTTATTTTCTGAATTCTGAATTATAAAATAATTTTAATTAATACAAAATTAATTTTTGTTTGTATTATAGACAATATTATTGAATTAATCATAATAATGACAAATTATTTATTAAAATTTTATTTTTTATTGCTTTATTTTTAGTTTGTTTTGCTCTCTTAAAGCTTTCGTTTTTTTTTTATTATGGATGAAACGCATTAGAAAATACAAGAATTTTTGATAGGAAAATGCGTAAAAGAATGAAAATTTCGACTAAATAATTGTTTATTTTATATGATTTTATTTGTAATATTTATAAAAGTGTTTACTAAATAGTAGAAATTATAATAAAAAATCTAAGTCATATACGGTGACATTATAATTTTATCTCACTCAAATTAGAAATACTCTGTTTTGAGTGATCCCTTGAGTGACAAATTTAAATTTAAATAATTATTTCTATGCCTTGCCTTGCCTATAGCCTTGTCCTAGTTTAAAATAATATTTGCCCCTTTTATATAGATAAAAATATATTTGTTTTACATACACAAACACATATTGCTTAAATTAACTTAATGCTCAAAAAAATATAATAACTTTCTAATATATTAAAATATAAAATTATATATAGGTAGAGTTCAGATTACTGTGAGGTTCTAAATGCCTGTATGATGGATTATATATCACTATTATACGTTATTCATTTGTACTTCGTTTTAAACAATTTCGATTTAAACACAAACATTTTTGCTCCCAAATATTGTTTATAACGGGGACTTCAGCTGTTTATAACATGATGTACTTGTATATATAGTAGGTGTAGTTACTAAGTTTTTACTACACTATTTAAATTATAACTATTATTATTTTAATAAGATGGTTTATGTTATATATAAATTTGGATATATATACTATATTTATATAATAATATATACATATCTGCTACTATCGACCTTTTTCATCATTAATTTAATAAAAATATGTGTAATTTTGTGTTAATTAGTTCTAATTTTGTTTTAAAACTCTTCTTGCTTTCTCAAAACCATAATAAAAAAAAAAAAACAATTTGTTAATTT